GTCCACCTTGCTTGGAGGTCTTCCTACGCTGCGTCTTCCGGTCCTCGGTCCCCACTCGAAGACTTTACTGCCCCAACGGACATCTGTCCTACAAGCTATGTGTGTCCTGTTTATTTTTGTCGTACAAAGTTTTGTATATAACAAAATTTTTTCAAGTGTAGTTTGTATAAGCTAATGGCATAAACAATAAGATTGCCTCCCCCAAAGATCTCCACAACGATCGGTCCTGCGCTGCTCGCACCCATTGCCTTCCAGTGATCATGACCAGATCGCCGGTTCACCTTGCTGGAGGCCTTTCCATGCCGCGTCTTCTGGTCCGCGGTTGCCACTCAAGGACTTTACTGCCCCAACGGCCATCTGTCAAGATCGCTAGAAGGCATTGGATGCGAGCAGCGCAGGACTTATCGTTGTGGAGATATTTGAAGGAGGCCTATGTCCAGCAGTGGACGTCTTCCGGGCCGCGATGATGATGATGATGATGAATAGCGTTCTTGCAGTTTTCATTTAATGTCAGACATAGACACCTATATAAGTATACAATATAAAGGAACGGGCATTAAAAAAAATGAAATTCAGTTGAGTTTCTAGTAGTTATTATTGGACGGTAGGAGAAAACATTAATACAAAAAACTTGATATACATTTATGTCAATATACATTTTATAAATAATATTAGTTATAAATAATAATATTAGCTTCCATTTGAGGCGCCACCGTCATGCAACGCGGCATATTGACGACCTCAATATACATTTTATAACATTTGTATACGAGTATGATTGTTTGTATCGGTCTGGGTGTTTTCTATGTATAATATGTATGAATTTACAAAAAAAAAATATTTGTATTTGTATCAGTTATCTAGCCATAACACAAGTCATGCAGATGGCGCTGTGTGAATTGTCCTGATATTATTATTATTATTAATATAAATCTGCTAAACCTGGCATCCTGCCTCTTTGGTCGACAGACGTGCTCTCGAACATATCTCCATATCATATCATGTTTGTTTTATATAATTTTAGTATCCCATTTACCTGATTTTGTTAACATTTATTATACTTTTGCTATAAGTTTCTTTCTCTTAATTAAATTTGGGGGTCGTTCCTCACAATATTAATAAGAATAACAACAATCTTCCAAATTCCTCCTCAATCTGGTTTTCTCGGTATCCTTGTTATATCATGACTACTGCTCTAATCAAGATCATGGATACCATTTGACTTGGTGCGGACAAATCGCAGCTGACGATGCTAACGTTATTGGATTTTAGTAATGCGTTCGATACCGTAGATATCGATATCTTACTTAGTTTGCTACGTTTTCTTAACGTATCTCCAATGATGATTGAATTGGTTCGAATGGACACATAAAGCTAATTGCTATTAATGATATCAGTTCATCCTGGTGGACAACGACTGGAGGCGTACCTCAGGGTACAGTATTAGCTCCTCTTCTCTTCGCTTTGTTTATTAATTCTTTTATACTTTATTATCATTCATCCTTCCATCTCTACACACAAATAACTGCTCACAAGCTGCTCTATACAATACTATATGATCTTTGTCTCACCTATATATCAGACTAGAATAAAGCTAATAGCCTTATGTTGAATCCTATAAAATACAGTTTATAGTTATTTTATATCAAAATTTGACTTGAAAATCTTCTAACAGTCATCTCTGATAGTTATGATATTCAATAATACCGTCATGTCCCGTTAACTTAAAAAATTTTTAGCTTCAATTCGATGAAATATCTCAAAAAACTTGCTGCTGTCGGAAGTATTAATAGGTTACAGAACTTCCTATCAGTTCATACCAGCAGGCTCTACTTTGTGTAGCGTCTTTGTTTGTTGATGTGACGATCCTGCTCACTCCTCCAGATATTATTTCAACCCTTTTACTGTCCAAGTCATTCGCCTTTGGAACTCTCTATCATTCTCCATTCGATTTGCTAGGCATATGCAACATTTAAAAATCGACTAAGATCTGAATTCTTATTCTGCTACTTCATTTTCATTCATTTTTTTATGATACCTTCCAATATATCGTATATATGTAATTTTATATATTTATACCTATATTATGTATGTGTATTTATTTGTTTATTAAATATATATATATATATTAAAGTACACTAAACACAACAGTTTGTGTAAGTACTAAACTAGTTTCAAAAGTTTTAAGTCATCCATACGTGTGCATGTATGAATTAACTTATTAACTTAAAATTTGAACAAAAATCATTAGACAAAATCTATTAAATATTTCTTTATTATCATAGATTATCATGAAATTTGATATTAAATTTTAATCTACGAAATCAATTTCTAACTTAGGGTTGGGTATCTCTTTATTAGAGGTTGCCTTGATTAAATTAAAGTATTACAATGTCTAAAGTAATAAAATACTTATTAGTTTGCAGAACAAAATATATTTGTATGTGTTTATCTAATCCCAGGACACACACCCGGAGACTGGAGATACCATCTGCGAGGCTGCCGGGTTATTTATACTGTACTGTTATTGTCAATTCTTTGCGTTGCTTGCGATTTTATATCGCCGTCAGGTTCAAGAGGTGGCGCCTTTCAAACAATTTAAAGATTTCGTTACATAACATGTAAACAACTGATTAATAAATGCCGATAGTGTTTTAACTGATTAAGAAACTACCTTTTTTATAGCAGAGGGGACAAACGAGCTTGCAGCTCAGCTGATGATAACTGATTACGTCTGCTTATGAACACCCGCAAGACCAAGGGAATTGCAAAACTTTGCCGGCCTTTTAAGAAGGAATAAGTTCTTTTCTTGAAGGTTTCAATATCGTATCGATTTGGAAATACCATTGCTGGAAGGTGATTCCACAATGTGGGTGTGCGTGGCAAAAAGTTTCTATAAAAATCCGTGGTGAAGGACCGCCATTTATTTAGATGATCAAAATGAAATTTTACTATCTGGCATGTAGTATGATGGTGAAATTCAGCAACTGGTTAATCCAAAGAATGAGGAGACTAAGTTATTTTTAAATATTGTTATTTAGGTAGACTGATATACTGTTGAAACTTTATTTAATTTTGATAAAGTTGGAAAACAAAATGCAATACTGCTATGTTGGGTAAAATAAGATTATTGTAATAGCAGTCCATCTGTCTGTCTGATGTAGCAGTACAATATTAGCCAATATCGAAATTTTTGATACCTAAAAATTTACAAGACCGAAATTTAATTTATATTCTAAATTTCAATTCTAATTCTCTTAACCCTATACCCGGGTCGCAAGACCCGAGAACTGCTCGGAGTATTCTTCTCTACTTCACAATGGGCTCCCGCACGCTAAATTCATGATTGCTAAGAATTTCATCTCACTTCCTACTTTCTACAAAAAGAAAACCATGTGTCATAAACATAATTTATTTTTTCTTTGAAACCTGAAGTCTATAAGCCACAAGTTTGTGATTTGTAGGTACAATTTATAACATCGTTTTTCAGGACACATCACACAACACCATCTAGTCCTGAACGAATCAGAGCTTGTGCTTTTGGTACTGGATAACTCATAAATACTTAGATGCATAAATTTGTAAATACATACATAATGTCTATAAAAAACACGCAGATCAATACAGACAATTATACGCATGAACACAAATATTTGTACAATGCTAGAAATAGCGCCTGGGACCATCTGAAGTAATGCGGTGTAACTATAAAAACATGTTGATGATTTTGTTTAAAATCTCGATATTTGCGTAGACACGACAAAATAATTAGGTACATTGGATAAATCTGTTTATCATTAAGATGGCGCGAAGACAAACCGTTATCAGCTGTTATGGGTGTCAAGCTCGGAGACCGGACCGATACGTGAGAGGTTATGAGATGAATGAGGCTATCACAGCCAGGGCCAACAAAAGTATGGGCTGGTACTAATATACTTACATCTGTACTGGTTCTTTGACCACTTCTATAACAAATTTACGGGCTGGTACTATTCTTACATCTATACTTTGACCACTTATAATTATACCACTTGATGTTAATGAAATAGAAATAGAAATAATCTTTATTCAAATAAACTTAATATAAGCACTTTTGAATAGTCAAGTTTTTTTATTCTACCGCTCATTCGGAATGCAGACTCATCACAAGAAGAATGAGCAAGAAACTTGTGTGTTGTTCTTTTAAATAAATATTGATTTACTTATATTTAATGCGACAATCAACATAGAAACAGCTACGCACTTAATCTCTGTTCAGATATATCAGATAACATTGTCAGCTCTATGAATTTTAAGTTAGATATGCACGGGCTGGTACTAGTATTCTTGCATCTGTCCTTTGACCACTTGTATTTCTTATTGTATTTATGTTCTTTCATCTGTTTTTTTTTTGTCAGATTTATGCATTCAAATCATTGTAATTTAAAACAACATATTACTTACATAACTTTTTGGCAGGGATCTAATTGACACAGAATTATTGCATGCTGGAAACTAAGTCATGTAACTTAAGTTAAAGAAACTTTTTAGGTAATCTTAGGTCGGTAAGTATTTTTTCTACTACTAGACCTTCGCCTTCAAAGCTTCGCCGAACAAAAAATGGATGAACGGGCAGAAATTTCGATCCTGTGAGCTGTCTACCTCTTTGAGGTCTTTAACCTCGCTGGCGAGAACGGTGTCGTGTAAATAATGTGATGGCATATTGACTAGAGCATCTAATCCCTACACAAGGATTGAGTAAGTATTTATACTAGTTGCCTAGTAGATGACTAAGTTCAAAATATTGGTCTGTTCAAGTAAACCCGTTACATGTGGAAAGATGAGTCAATCTTGTTCAATTATGGTTTTAGGAGTCCAATAACCTAGTGCTACTAGTTTTATTCCAAATAAGAAAGAAAAAATGTAGTAAAAAAGCGACCCACGTTTGATAACCCCGGCTAGACATTCTATGCCTACCAACGTCGCGTCTCATTATCGATATTGTGTTATTCAGTCTGTAATGAACGAAGTACATATTTATTAGTCTTTACGTTACTTGTCTTAGTGTAATTTTCAATACGAGTTAAGTTTATCTGTGCCTGCAATTGGATTATACCAAGTAGGTGTATTTTATTATTAACTGCGTTTACATCAAGTGCTTTTTTGAAATTTGTCTCTTCATTGCCAGTGTTCAATTTACTATAGGCATAAGAATATACTCTGTGCCTATCGGTAGCTAGTTATATTGTTAGGATTATGTTATTTACTTTATATAAAAGACGTATATCTTGACATATTAATTGTACAAGTTTTAAGATCTTTATTATACATACATTAGTTAATTGTATGTATTTGTGGCTGCAATTGGATTTTCGCAAGTAGGTTTAGTCTTCATTTTGGAATTTCTTTAACCTAGTCGTTTTTTTTAATATATAACACTAACTGTGCCCGCGGTTTCACCCACGTGAATTTTATAGCCTATATGTTATTCTGATGTATTAGCTATATTACTGTAAGTTTCATCAAAATCCGTTTAAGTAATTTTTGCGTGGAAGCATAACAAAAATCCATACTCACAATCTTTCGCGTTTATAATATTATTAAGATATAATATATTCAGTGTATAATTCGTTTAGTTTTTTTTTGTGATTTGTTAATTTCAAAGTAATAAGTACTTTATTATTACTCGGTATTATTTTGCGTTTTGTTCTGTCAAGAGATTGCTTAAGTTTAACCATGTTAAAGGTACTGAAGTTTGTTTTGTATCATATGATGTACGTACTCGTGACTACCTCTGCTTCGCTTATTTCTGCCGTTAAGAAATTATCTTTGCGTGAAGTGTGAGATACACCAAATTATAGAGTATGACATCGTCCTCAAAATGATATGAGAGTTGCTACTGGATCTCCAATATCTTTACTTGAACGGTTGAGATATAGTAATAAAATTACAAGGTGTGACATCGTAAATCTCAAAAATAACGTGAGAGTTGCAACTGGATCCACAATATCTTTACTTGAACAGTTGAGATATAGTAAATAAATTACAAGGTGTGACATCGTAGACCTTAAAAGAACACGAGAGTTGCTACTGGATCCACAATATCTTTACTTGAACGGTTGAGATATAGTAATGAAATTACAAGATGTGACATTGTAGACCTTAAAAGGACATGAGAGTTGCTACTGGAACCACAATATCTTTACTTGATGGGTTGAAATATATTCATGGAATTACAAGGTGTGACATCGTAGACTTCAATAATGTTATGGAGTTGCTACTGGATCCACAATTATTGATGATGTTTTAATTTTTGCAGTATTGTGTAGCTCATATTTTAAACACTCTCTATAAAATGAAACTTGTTCACATTTCATTACATAAAAAATGTTTTTATTAATTTTTATAAAACAAATTTTAATGTCATATTTTTTATTTTACTCTATCAGCGACTATTCTGCATCATTATTATAAACTGGAACAGTAATAAAAACTAGATCTAGAGTAATAATTAAAGAGATAACAAAAATAATTTATATAACTCTTTCCAATAAAATATCCGTTACAACAATTGTTACATCAATATCGAATGATAATTAATAATTCTGTGTAAATATTAACGGGCGTTGTTGTAATACCCGCCGTCCTACAATAACAACTTAGTTTCGTACCAACAGAAAACAAAACTTGATTATTATGCTAATATTACAGCGTGTTTCCAGCGAACAACATTTTATATTATATATATATATATAAAACTAGGTTAAAACAGTTGCTTCTTTGTTAATTAAAACCGTTAAACGTGATAATGAAACTCTTTATTCTTGTTCAACAGAATAGAATAGAATACAAAATCATTTATTTGAATAAATGATTTTCTACTCACTACTAAAATACACTTTATTTTTGTTCAACAGAATAGAATAGAATAGAAAATCATTTATTCGAATAAACTTACATTGAAGCGCTTTTGAATAGTCATCACATTTTTTTAGTCTACCGCTCATTCGGAGAGCTGTCTCATCACAAGAAGAACGAGCAAGAAATAATTTAAATAATTTTATTGTTACTTTACATTTTTGAGTTGAAGTGTGCGAATGCAAACTACCAATTAGCACTGAGGACACCGTTAGGGGTTCGAACCTCGGCTCAGGCTTTCGTAACATCGGTTCCCGTTTGAATTCATTTAAAAGAGCAACACGCAATACGTAAGTACATCCGTTGTGTTATACATGTAAATCAAGCTCTGCTTAGCTTAAGAATAGATGGCGCTGTATGAATTGTCGAGAGTTATTTTTAATATCTGTGTATTTATATTTGACCCTAATAAATTGTTGGTTGGTAGTTTGTATTCACACGTTTCGACTTGTAAATGTGAACTTACAAGGATTATTTAAAAGAGCAACCAAGTTTCTTGCTCGTTCTTCTTGTGATGAGACAACTTACCGAATGAGCGGTAGATAAAAAAATGTTATGACTATTCAAAAGTGCTTAAATTAAGTTTATTTGAATAAATGATATTCTATTCTATTCTAATAATCATCTAAATCTTGGGTTGGTCGTTACATTAACATTAAAGTAAATGAATTTAAAATAACATTAGAAAAAATATGAAATCGATTTACATTAACTAAACGAAATGGATCTCTATATACATATAATATATGACTCTCCAAATATATCTTCATTCACATGTTATATGGAATAATTATAGATACTGCTTGAGGATGGCATGAATTATTTATGAATGGAGCCCTGTTCAATCACTCAGATGTATAGGCAATAATTCAAGTAGATAATAATCGTGTAGATATGTAACAAAATTCTGACATGACCGACAAATTACTATGATTTATTTATTATTGCATGTGATAATAATAAATAAACACTCGTAACTAATATTTCATTCATTATATTTTTCGAGGACAACTATATGTAGTTTTTTTTTATTCTTTATTGTACAAAAACACGTGTACAATTGGCGAGCTTAGTGCCATATAGCATTCTCTAGCAGCTAACCTTTAGGTACAAATAGAGAGCGTTGTAGGTCAGTAGTGGCGAAAAACTGTGACAATAAAAACTATAATAGATATATAAATATAATATACATAAATAAATAAAATTACTTTGTATGATATGGATATAAAAATTACACAGAATAGAATATAGTTGCCTCGAGTGGCGACCACGGACCGGAAGACGCAGCGTGGGAAGGCCTCCAGCAAGGTGGACCGACGATCTGGTCAAGATGGCTGCAAGGCATTGGATGCAAGCAGCGCAGGACCGATCGTCGTGGAGATCTTTGGGGGAGGCCTATGTCCAGCAGTGGACGTCTTCCGGGCTGCGATGATGATGATGACATATAGTTGTCAAGTATGCAGAAAATTGTAGACAATGTAATTCTGAACAACAATTATTTCAACGAGCGACACACAAGTTTCTTGCTCGTGATGAGACAGCTTCCCGAACGAGCGATAGATAAAAAAAATGTTATGACTATTCAAAAGTGCTTAAATTAAGTTTATTTGAATAAATGATTTTCTATTCTATTCTATAGCTCCGGCAATAACCAGTATAGGTACACCTTGGGGTTTTAGGCAGTACCAGTTCGTTACCCCTGGAGCGGGCGGGGCTCCATCATGGATTTCCCCAAATAATATATTTTTATTAAATGTTGCTATTATCATTTTAAGCATACTGGAAGCTGTATTTATTTTATTTTAATACAGAATAAATATATTTCAAAGCACAGCAACAGCTCGTGACTTAGTATTTACTACCGAAAGATGAAGCGATATCTAAGTACACCACTAAGCAACATAACTTATAACTTCTCCCCAGGGATGCCAACCGTACGATTATCCTCGTATAAGATTGACATTTCTGGCCTTTAGTTGTACATTATTTTGATGTAAAAAATACGATCATGTATCGAGGTTATAAAGAGTTCATAATAGATAAAAGATATTATGTTTTTTATTTTGACAGCCTCGGTGTTCCACTTGTTTAGCACACCGCTTTTCACCCTTACAACCCTTTTTTAACATTAAAAAGGACGTAGCCTTCCTTTTTCAGGGTCTAGATTATCTACAGCATTCCGAATGAGCGGTAGATTAAAAAAAATGTTATGACTATTCAAAAGTGCTTCAATGTAAGTTTATTTGAATAAATGATTTTCTATTCTATTCTATTCTGTGTACCAAATTTCATTTAAATCGGTTCCGTAGTTTTGGCATGAAAGCGAAACAGACAGACAGAGTTACTTTCGCATTTATAATATTAGTAAGTAGTACAGTTTCATATTATAGTTATATATGTATTCCACTGACGTCACAACATAAGCTCCGATAGTAAACTTCTAAATTATCAACTGTTACACAATATTTAACGAGACTATATATTTACGATTTATATATAAACGTAGAAAACAACATAGTTTCATTTCATAGGTCAACGCGCACTTATCTGTAACATATCGAAATATCGGATAATAATAATAGTGGTAATATATAGGTATTTTAAAGTAATACTATAAATTGCAATCAGTTCTGTAAGATATCGAAATATTGGATAATAATAATAGTGGTAATATATAGGTATTTTAAAGTAATACTTAAATTGCAATCAGTTCTGTAAGATATCGAAATATCGGATAATAATAATAGTGGTAATATATAGGTATTTTAAAGTAATACTTAAATTGCAATCAGTTCTGTAAGATATCGAAATATCGGATAATAATAATAGTGATAATACTTAGGTATTTTAAAAGAATACAAATTTTGTATTATAAAATACCTAATTGCAATATTGCATATATTGCAATTAGGTATTGGGTAAGTTTTTAATACAAAATTTGAGAGTTTCACCTCAATCTCACCTGATGTTAAGTGATAATTCATTTTTTGTTGATGATAATGGAATGGTGCAGCCGCCTGCGCTAACAGTAACGCCGGCCCCCCAGTGGAGGATGATAAGATGAGGATGAGGTCAGGTCAGTTACCCCATCGTGACAAATTCACAAAGAACTTATCTCGATGATTTCCAGGGGAACCGCGTGGAGATCCACCTGTCATGGTAGATTACTAGCAATATGATCATCAATCCACATTACTAACCATCTCCTTTCCCATCTAAGCTGTTATACGCAAGTGCCTATTCTCTCTAGACTTGAAAGACTCGATCTTGTAAGAGGCAGAAAACAATGACGTTGGATGAAAATTCCACTACTTAGCTGTTCGTATAAGGAACGATGATGCATATCGGTTGGTACAAGCAGCAGGTACGTCAACAGTGTATGGGTGGAACTGCTCGCTACGTCTTGTTGTACGGTGGTGGAACGATGCTGGAGGAATGAGGTTTTGGAGTTCCTGTTCTGTTATAAATCTGCCAGAAATAAGTGTCAAATAAAACAGTTCCTTTGCAAAAAAAACTGACTATAAAATTGAAGAATTCGTTAACGATAATAATGTTTTTATAGAAAAACTTTAAATCCATAGCACTGACAATATTATCTGATTACACTAATAATGAGTGCGTAGCGATTTCTATGTTGATTATCGCATGCCTCTTACTTGTTATACTGTAATTATTTATATAAAAAATATCTATTAAAAAGAGCAACACACAAGTTTCTTGCTCATTCTTCATGTGATGAATCTGCATTCCGAATGAGTGGTAGAATCAAAATATGACTATTCAAAAGTGCTTGTAATGAGTTTATTTGAATAAAGATTATTTCTATTTGTATTTCCTAAGCACATTATCCCAAAAGCAGCCACTAATAATAGAAAACCGATAGTCATGCCACTTTACGTCGGTGGCTAAGACTTTGAATCCTATTAGCCACAAGTGATTCCTCTCTGATGAGTCTCCTAGCTCGTCTGTCGTTTGAGTCTAGAGCGTCAAGTTGGTACTGAGCGGATCCATCCCACAAGATGAACATCACAATCGGACACGTGCTTGGTATAGTGTTAGAAGCTGTCCAGATGTAAAATATCACCTATCCCTTGATATAATGCCTAATTGTCTAATTAAAATGCCTTCCTCTCCAGAATACTCCTCTATCAATCGAGTCTAGAGCATCAAGGTATCTTATCTGAGTCAAAAGATCAAGCAGCGTCGATAGAAAAGCCTCGACTTTCGAAAGGAACGTAATAATCTGATTATTCTTAGATTTTAAGTGCCTATAATTTTTTATAGTGCCCGATCAACCAACCAGCTCTTCAAGTCTGGAAGTCGAAGAAGATTCGTTAGCCACTCCGAGTGCTCCAGAGTTGCCGGAAAAAAATGGAAATCCCAAACAGCTGCAGCGTATGGAAACTGTTCCGGATATCAAACGGGATACATCCGGTATTACAACCCAGTACATAGCTACCGGAATCGGTGAGTCTTTTCGTATATTATATTGTATTTATAAAATATATACATCTATCGTAAGCTGGCTCATTCTATATTTGATACCAATAAATGTAGAGAATACATTTAAAACAGCAAGGAAACTATAGAGAATCTTTCAAAATAGCACAGAATGGAAAAGATTAGAGGCCTTTGCTTGGCAGTTATATAATCACTATGACTGATTTCCTCTTATTAATTGTTTAACCAGTTGGTTATATATTCAATAAATATTTTTTCTATTTGAGTATTTAATTGTATTAGTATTAATTGTTTCACACACAGTTGGTTATATATTAAATATTTTTTCTATTTGAGTATTTAATTGAATTAATGCTAATAAATGATTTTCTATTCTATTCCACGAAATATTAGATATATTGGTTTGTATTCACACACTTAAACTTAAAAATGTAAAGTAATAATAAAATTATTTAAAAGAGCAACACGCAAGTTTCTTGATCATTCTTCTTGTAATGAGTCATTCAAATTTAAAAGAGCAACAAGCAAGTTTCTTCCTCATTCTTCTTGTAATGAGTTAGTATTCAATATGAGTGGTAGAATAAAAGAAATATGACTATTCAAAAGTGCTATTGGAACGAATGAGTGATAGAATAAACGAATGGCTATTCTAAAGTGCTTAATATTAAGTTTATTTGAATAAAAATAATTTCTTTAACCTACAATTAGTTGAGTTAATCATGGTTGACTCAGCCGTTATACTCGTGAACGGGTTCTGCTTGTAGGGACTTCGGTCTCATTCATAAATTACATCCCATCCTTAGGTAACGTTGAGGGGTGTGAGGTGGTGAACCGAGGGATGGGAGGGGTCCGTAATTTTATGACGTCACATCTCAAAGTCTCAAATATATTTAAGTACTATCTGTTCCCGCGACTTCGTCCGCGTGGAATTTAACTTAATTTTTGATAAAATAAAAGTAGCCTAACTTACTCCTTATTACATCAGCTACCTGCCAATAAAAGACCCGTCAAAATCGGTCCAGTCATTTCAGAGATTAGCTGGAATTAACAGACTTAAGATTATATAGTTATTACCACATTTCTTGTCCAGTGAACTTAGGAGCATTTGCGGCTGGTGCATGCGTCGCCTGGTCTTCAGCAGCGCTTCCACTGTTGATATCAGAACCATTTGAGGTCAGTAAACATATATTTAACTAGTTACTACCAGCGACATTGTCCGTAAACTTTTTTTTAAATAAAAAAAGGACGAAAATTATAATAACCTATTTTTTTATTGAGGCTTTTGGACTATTGTGGGGTGCTTAGACATGTATCTCTGCGACCTACATAGATCTATTGAAATCGATTATTATAGAAAAATTGTCCAAGTTACTCCATATAACTTTATTTATCCGCGAGTGAAAGTACCATCAAAATCGGTCCAACTATTACAAAGATTACACATACAGATAATTCAAATTTAAAAATCATTTATTCATGTAGGATGAATAAAGGATTTTTAAATTTAATTTTAATTCAATTATGAACGTAATTTTTTTAATATTATAATTTTTTCCCTACCTTCCAGTTCAGTATATAGATCCAATTGAGAAGAACTGGCAAGAAACTCAATTGAATTTTTTCAATGCTAATTGATTTGCAATAGTTACTAATTTTTTGCAATACCTATGTGTCTATGTCTAACATTAAATGAAAATCCCGTGCATGATCAACTATTGCCATGCACGCTCGTCATTCAAGTAATTGTTTAGTAAGTACTAGCTACTCGCCCCGGCTTTACACGGGTGTACATGTATTATACATATAAATCTTCCTCTTGAATCACTCTATTTATTAAAAAAAACCGCTTCAAAATCCGTTGCGTAGTTTTAAAGATTTAAGCATACATAGGGACATATTATAAAAGAAAGTCGCAGTCGCTGTCTGTCCGTCCCTATCCGTCCCCTAAGAAAGGATTTTTATAAATTCCACCCCTAAGGGGATAAACTAACGCGAGCGGAGCCGCGGGCAAAAGCTAGTTCAAGAATAAATTTAATGTACAACATGAACAAAATTGCATAGTGCATAATAAATTCAAATTTATACTTTTAATCTGTTGCACCACAGAATATAGCACCTGCATTGCGCTACATACACGCAACCACTCTACCACAATACTAAACTTTATAGTTTATAGTGTTAAAGTCGAAAACAGCGTAACAAACATAATTAATAGCAGGCAATAACTCAGTCGCAGTGTATGTCACTTCGACGGAGTTTGGAACTGGGGAAAAACTTTGGACCGGCTCGGTTGCGAAGTTAACTTGAACTATGCTTCTGTTCGGCAATTAAAGTTATTTGTTCTGTGTTAGTTAGTTCTAAATAAGGATTTATAGTGCTTACTTGGTTGTAAACATTGTTTTAATCAACCTAGGTAGGTATAGGTTTGATAAGAATAGAATAAAATAGATAAACTTGTAATAGACATTGTACACTTTTAAAACTAAGTATAAATTGATATTATTGAGTCAGGAATTATAGTTTTAACACAAGTTGATAATAGTCAATAATATCCAATATAATTATATGTCCTATATAGTAGTAACTGCTAGACATACCTCGCATTTACACCCCCTTTATTTGTGCCTGCATACCTCTAATTATACAGTTTCTTCATTTAATATTTTGGTTACTCGTTCACTCACTATGAAATAAGCTATTGAATCATGTAATCCACACAGCATATTATATTTATTTATAAATACCCTTTAAACTATGTATGTAGTCTATTATATATGATATTGTATTAAATTAATTATATTATATGCACATTTGTCCGTGAATCACATATTCAGGGTTCCACTGAAAATCAGCGTCGTGGCTTTTGTCATGGCATAATGCTGAGATGGGCCCCTTACACACACATCAGTACACAGTGACGCGGTGGCGATGCTTCGCAGTGGTGGATAGGAAATGCATTTTTTACTTTATTATTATTATTGGTTTGTTACTATGTTGTTCTTTTATTTATTATTATTATTTTTTTTTTTCTTTGTATATAATGATTTCATCCCTAATTTAATGAATTATTTTTATTTACGGTTTTCTTATATAATAATTTATATGCAGCTGTCGGCATCGTTTTTTTTATTGTGTTGAGATGTGTGATGTAATAAAATAAATAAATAAATAAACTTAATTTAAGCACTTTTGAATAGTCTACAATTATTTTTTAAATCTACCGCTTATTCGGAATGCCGTCACATCACAAGTAGAATAAGCAAGTAACTTGTGTGTTGCTCTTTTAAACAGTCCTAGTAATATCACATTTTACAAGTCGAAACGTGTGAATACAAACTACCAACCAGCACTAATTTATTTAGGCTCAAATATAACACAATAAGATTAAATCAGTCGTAGTTATAAGAGCAGACCGGTCCCTACACAGCAAGCTATCACTGCGCTTGACCATATTTTAGGGAGCCCAATGACCCGTCCCACCACGCCGCCACATTTCTGGACATTTTAGTGAGCATGACTACTCATTCCACTCGACCACGTCACATATAGCGTCATATATATTAATAATAATAATATCTCAGGACAATTTCCACACATCTAGTCCCACGGTAAGCAGAGCTCGTGTTATGAGTACTAGGCAACTGATAGAAATACTCCAATAAAAAAAAAGTAATTCAATTGAGTTTCTTGCTAGTTCTTCTCAATTGGATCTATATACCGAACTGGACGGTAGGGAAAAAATAAAATTATAATGTAAAAATTTGACGTTCATAAGCGGCTAAAATGTCCTACATATACATGATTTTGAATTTGAATTTGAATAGAAATACAATAAATCATATTCGTATCTACAATTTTTAAATCAGTCGTAGTGATAAGAACAGACCAGTCCCAACAAGCAGCACTCGTTCACGAGTATGACGGCTAAGAAGATTGAAAATTTCTTTGATTATTCACACAGCGATTTTTTCTCCCAAGATAAATAGATCTTCTTATGGGTATCTTATTATTAATATTATAAATGCGAAAGTTTGTAACTATGAATCTTTGTTACTCTTTCAACAGATTTTGATGAAACTTTACAGTACTATAGCTTATGAATCAGAATAACATACAGGCTGTAATTTTATATTGAAATTTAACGCGAGCGAAATCGCAGGCATCGCTTGTACAATATATTTGTGTAAATACGTACATGTTTATACAACCTTTTGTTATAACAATAGAATAGAATAGAAAATCCTTTGTTTAAATAAACTTAATTGCATTAAATTGAGCAAAGCCTATTAGTCATTAAACGATTACTTGAATGACGAGCGTGCGTGGCAATAGTTGTTCATGCACTGGATTTTCATTTAATGTTAGACATAGACACCTATATAAATATACATTGTAAATAAACTGGCTTTTAAAAAAAAAGTAATTCAATTGGGTCTCTTGCCACTTCTCAATTGGATCTATATACTGAACTTGACAGTAAGGAATAAAATTTAATGTAAAAAAAATAACGTTCATAAGCGGCTAATATGTACTACATGAATAAATGATTTTTGAATTGATTTGTTATCGATTTCTTTTCTAGAACAGAACTTGCTAAATTCACATATCAGATCTGGTTATTTAGCCGCTGAATTTCACCACCGTACCACCCGCCAGAAACTAAAATACCATCCTGATCATCTGGATGAATGGCGGTCCTCCACACAACCACATTGTGGAATCACCTTCCAGCAATGGTATTTCCGAACCGATACGATGTTGAAACCTTCAAGAAAAGAGCTTTTCTGAACGTACTTGCGGATAGATTAAAACCTTCAAGAAAAAAATGTAATGTATATTAGAATAAATGATTTTCTATTCTATTCTATAAATTAACCATATGTATGTATATTAATAGCTGTACCAAACTGCAATGAATCCACTACCATCAGAAAGTTAAATAATATTCTGAACAGAAACAAATTACATTTTAGTCTGCTCTTATTACTACGACTGATTTAATCTTACATTTCTTTCTTACACTAGTACATTTATATAGTGTTCATGTAATTTGAACAGACTTCCTATTTTTATACTGAACTGATGGCAATAAACCCTATGTAATGCTACTAAAATGTCCAGATCACACAAATATGGTCGAGCGCAGTGATCCTCCGTCATACTCGTGAACGGGTGCTGCTTGTAGGGACTGGTCTGCTCTAATCACTATGCCTGATTTCCTCTTATTAATTGTTTAACCAGTTGGTTATATATTCAATATTTTTTCTATTTGAGTATTTAATTGAATTAGTGCTAATTGGTGGTTTGTATTCACACACTTAAACTTAAAAATGTAAAGTAATAATAAAATTATTTAAAAGAGCAACACGCAAGTTTCTTGCTCGTTCTTCTTGTGATGAGACAGCTTTCCGAACGAGCGGTAGATTAAAAAAATGTAATGACTATTCAAAAGTGCTTCAATGTAAGTTTATTTGAATAAATGATTTTCTATTCTATACTATAAACTAACCATATGTATGTATATTAATAACTGTACCAAACTGCAATGAATCCACTACCATCAGAAAGTTAAATAATATTCTGAACAGCTCAATCGAGGTTGAACTGAAATAAACCCTATGTAATTTACATAATCACACAAATAGGCGAAGAGATTCAGGCTGGATTTCACCATTCGTAGTATAAACTAGTTCAAGGAAACCGAGTTCAGCGTAAACTAGTTTAAAGATATACAATAAAGAAGAAGGAGAAGAAAAACCATTTATTGACAACCATTATTTATATGAATATATTATATACACACACATATACATATATACATAATGTATACATAAAGAATTTGTAACAAGTTTAGCGTTTAGTTCAGATTGTAGCGGTGAAATGCAAAATGAAGATTTAAGCTCGTTTAGACGTTTTAATCGAGTTTAGTTCGAACTAAATGCGATTAGTTTCTTTAGTGAAACCCGGCCTTAATGTCAATGTAGCTAAACCCAGCTAAATCGTAACCGGGCGTTCAACGGATGCGTTCGATTAAGTTATCCGTGTTACTATAGTCTATCCGTTGAATCAACATAAACACTGTTCAAGACGGGGGGAGATGTTGCTTCAATTGTCTTGATATATTTAGCTGTTTGTTTCTCGAAAACGTTTATTTTATTGTGCTCAAACGTTGCAGTCATTTAAAGGATTTACGCAGTTATTGACGTCACGACGCCCTCGGTGGTTTAGCGGTTTAGCACACGGTGGTCGCGGGTTCGATTCCTCGTATGAGTATAATTATTTTTATCGGTCTGTGTATTGTTTATTTATATTATGTATGTATTTATAAATCAAATCAAATCAAATCAAATTTATTTGCACTAAACATAGGTTTACATTGGTTGTTATTGTAATATAATGTCCCATTATGTTTTGCCTCATTAGGCATGCAAAATATATAAATTTTAAATATTATTTAATTATTAAATCAATTGTCATCAGAGAATTATAAATACATATTATTATTATTACATTATTATTAATTTAAAAACTCGTTTACGGAGTAAAAACATTTGTCGAGTAACCAACTATTTAATTTATATGTCAATCGTCCTCGTGGAAGTGTCTTTATATCATCTGGTATTTTGAAGAAAATGTTATCATTTATATAAGTTGTCTTGTAGCCATAACACAAGATCTGCTTAGCATCTAGATCTGCTTCAGAACCGAGCAGCCAGAATCATTGGTAATCAACGTCTATGTGACAGACTCGACCCATTGGCTTTGCGGCCAGATATTGTATCTCTGTGCATTTTCTACCGCATATATCACGGGGAGTGTTCTGAGGAATTGTTCGGATTAATACCAGCTGCTGAGTTTCACCACCGTACCACCCGCCAGAAACTGAAATGCTGTAGTCTCATGGGAAAACCTCGGCAAATAAAATAAATCATTACATAGTATAAAACAAAGTCGCTGTCGCTGTCTGTCTATCCCTATGTATGCTTAAATCTTTAAAACTATGTAACGGATTTTGAAGCGGATTTAAATAAAAACTTTAAGAAACAGCGAATGTCAGAACTTGTGCTGTACTCATTATTATCACAATACATAGCATACGAATTCCAACATTTGTGACAAAGTTGCGTCCCGAAACGTGACATGTGACAATGACATGTGTCACGGAATACCGTGTAATTACAATGCAAGGGCTTCATTTATTACCCTATTGCTCTTTAAATATATTTTACTTCAGAATGTAGGGGAACATTTATTTTCTCTTTAAAGAAATTTAACCTATAGAATAGAATAGAATAGAAAATGATTTATTCAAATAAACTTTTGAATAGTCATAATTTTTTTTTTTTAATCTACCGCTCATTCGGAATGTTATCTCATCACAAGAAGAACAAGCAAGAAACTTGTGTGTTGCTCTTTTAAATAATTTATTCTTACTTACAATTTAAGTTTAAGTGTGTGAATACAAACCACCGATTAGCACTAATTCAATGAAATAATAAAATAGAAAAAACATTCAATATACAACAACTGGTTAAACAATTAATAAGAGGAAATAAGTCATAGTGATTAGAGCAGACCAGTCCACACAAGCAGCACCCGTTCACGAGTATGACGGATATATATAATATATAATACTATATAATTATATAATGCTAGCTACTCGCCCCGGCTTCGCACGGATGTACATGTATTATACATAAATATTCCTCTTGAATCACTCTATCTATTAAAAATAACCTTTAAAAATTTAAGCATATATTTGTATTGCATGTATATTCCTTAGATATATATTGTATTTATCATTCTGTTTACATCTTGTTGCATTTTATTTATCATTTATTATATTTGCACCGCCAATATTTATTCTCTGCACCACCAATGGTCGACTGGTAGAAAATGCCGCATGGTGTTAAGTCCGCCATATGTACTTTACTATATTTTGTATATTGTGTGCATTGAAGTTAAATATATAAATAAATAAATAAATATATAGAGACGGACAGACAGCGACAGCGACTTTGTTTTATACTATGTAATAATAATGATAATTGCTATGTCGTGTAATAGTATTTTAGGAATGGGACCTAGAATATATAATAATCTTCCAAGGGCATTAAAATCTATTGGTAGTATCCATCAATTTAAAACTGCTCTTAGAAATATACTGATTGGTAAAACTTACTACACGGTTGGTGATTTCCTGACTGATACATTGACGTAAAGACAATTGATTAATGACTATCGGTATGATGACGTAGTACAGTAATTTTATTTCATTAAACATTAATTGTACCTACAATTTATTATTATTATTATTATGATATTATTATTATTATTATTATTATTATAATTATTATTATTATTATTATTATGATATGGTGAATACATTATTTATTTTGTGACAGTAAACTTAAAAGATGAAACATTTTTTATTAAAGGTTGTATGAAAGTATCATTATTTTTAAAAACAGAGACTTGAAACTTATGCTCTTGATTAAAGATAAATAAATATAACATTCAAAATTTTTCTAAACATTTCACCCTTAAGAGGGTATGGTATGAAAGAGCGTATAAAATAGGAAATTAAAATTGAACAATTAATAATAATAATAATGTTAGGACAATTCACACAGCGCCATCTAGACTCAAGTTAAGCTAGTTAAAGCTTGTGTTATGGGTACTATATTACTGATACAAATACATAGATTTTTTTTTTGTAAATACATACATAATATACATAGAATACACCCAGACCGATACAAACAATCATACTCATGAATACAAATGTTTGTGCCGTGCGAGGAATCGAACCCGCGACCATCGATCTTAAAGCGGTGTGCTAGACCGCTAGACTACCGAGGTCGTCAACAATTAAAACGATGAAACGTTTTTTATTTGCAAAATAATTAGCCTAAGTAATTAAAAATGCTATCCGAGATCACTATTCTACGCGGACGAAGTCGAGGGCAAAACTAGTTTATTATTCTTTTTTATATTGATTATATATAGGATAGATGAATTTATAGATGATAGCAATATATAGCAAGTATAAGTTTATTTGCGGACAACGTTATAATTTATTTTTCATACTGCTTTCTTGATATATGATAGCGTAGCGGCTTTTGTATTGATTGCCGCATGCATCCTCATGTAAAGTGCGAATACTGTAACTACCATATAGTAATTTTTGTAGCTGTGACGTGGTCGAGTGGAATGAGTAGTCATGCTCATAAAAATGTCCAGACATGTGGCGGCGTGGTGGGCCGGGTCATTGGGCTCCCTAAAATATGGTCGAGCGCAGTGATGGCTGACTCATTCGTCATACTCGTGAACGAGTGCTGCTTGTAGGGACTGGTCTGCTCTTATCACTACGACTGATTTAATCTTATTGTGTTTTTATATTTGAGCCTAAATAAATTAGTGCTGGTTGGTAGTTTGTATTCACACGTTTCGACTTGTAAAATGTAAACTTACAAGGATTATTTAAGAGAGCAACACACAAGTTTCTTGCTTATTCTTCTTGTGATAAGACAGCTATCCGAATAAGCGGTAATTTAAAAAAAAATTTGACTATTCAAAAGTGCTTAAATTAAGTTTATTTGAATAAATGATTTTCTATTCTATTCTAGATTACACTTATATATATTATTAATAGCGAATTTATTTAAAACATATAGTGAATTTAAAAATCGCTAATATATATAAACGCCGGATAATTATGCATAAACTTAATATGTTGTATTTCTGTTACAGAACGATAACATCGGCTTGGAGGTACCGAGCAACATTACACATAGATTTGCAGTAAGTCTCTTAAAAGTTCATAAACTTGGAGGTACTAAGCAACATTACACATAGATTTGCAGTAAGTCTCTTAAAAGTTCATAAACTTGGAGGTACCGAGCAACATTACACATAGATTTGCAGTAAGTCTCTTAAAAGTTCATAAACTTGGAGGTACCGAGCAACATTACACATAGATTTGCAGTAAGTCTCTTAAAAGTTCATAAACTTGGAGGTACCGAGCAACATTACACATAGATTTGCAGTAAGTCTCTTAAAAGTTCATAAACTTGGAGGTACCGAGCAATATTACACATAGATTTGCAGTAAGTCTCTTAAAAGTTCATAAACTTGGAGATACCGAGCAACATTACACATAGATTTGCAGTAAGTCTCTTAAAAGTTCATAAACTTGGAGGTGCCGAGCAACATTACACATAGATTTGCAGTAAGTCTCTTAAAAGTTCATAAACTTGGAGGTACCGACCAACATTACACATAGATTTGTAGTAAGTCTCTTAAAAGTTCATAAAATAATAGGCAGATATTTTTTTTGCACTTCTAAGCCCTCAAACTATCTTAAAAGTTCATAACAGCATTAGAGTAGAAAAAAAACATTATCTTCATCATCATCATCATCATCATCTGCTTCTTTCTTATCCCATTTATTTATGGTCGGCGTAATATGTTTTTCGCTTCCATTCATCTCTGTTCGCAGTCATCGCGTTATTTACTTCCTTTCTTACCATATCATCTTTCACACAGTCCATCCATCTCTTTTTCGGCCTTCCTCTGCCCTTATAACCATCCACATTCATATGTAACACCTTTCTTAAAATATTATCCACGTTCCTACGCATTACATGTCCATACCATGATAGACGATTACTCTTCAATTTTCATTATACGGTACTTATATCAAAATTTAATTTTCTGTCCGTCTGTCCATTCTTGCTAATCTCTGAAACGGTTGATTGTTCAGTTGACAGAGTCAGAAGCGTCCTGGACTGCATCGCTGTTATGTTTGGGAGCACTTTTCGGGGCAGTGCCAACTGGTCTCATATCGGAGAACTTCGGCAGGAAGAAAACCTTGCTGTACCTCGCGTTGCCCCTGGTCGTGTCCTGGACTCTCATTGCATCAACGTACGTTATAATATAATGTGCACATCGTGGTTTCACGCACGTGAAATTTATATCTTATGTAATATAATATCTTTATTGTCTAATATGTAATATTTTTTTTTTACAAATACATATAATACAAATAATTAAGAAGTCCCTGAATTCTGAGGTAGGTATAGAAAATACCTGTGTTTCAAAAGTCAGTGTCCTCTTGTCAGGTTGGTGTAATCATAGGAGTGTGTGTGTGTGTGTGTGTGTGTGTGTGTGTGTATGTGTGTGTGTGAGTGTGAGTGTATGTGTGTGTGTGTGTGTGAGTGTATGTGTGTATGTCTTGAGAAATTGGTGATAATCTAGAAACGCCTATAGAAGTGCTATTACCGTATCAATAATTCTGTCTGATTGTCATGTGTCATCTAGTGTTAATAACCATTTCTTATGGTTGTTTTTGGCTATATGGTGTGTTTGACAATGAAAATTTATTTTTTTGTTAATTTTATTATATATATATACACACATGAAAAAATGTTGGCGTCTTGCAAAGTCTGTACGACATTTGATAGGAACGCAAATATTATATGTGTTATTGTAATATATAAATTATAAGCTATATTATTTAAATTATTAACCGGGTCTTAACACGAATAATTTTATGGCAAATAAAGGTATTTACCTCTCTCGACGTTTTAAGACCCGGTTAATAATTTAAATAATGTATATTAAACACGAAAGTTTAAAATTAACTATAAGCTATATTATTGTAAAGTTTCATTAAAATCCATTCAGTATGGAAACACCATTGAAAAATAACAAACTTATATGTTTATATCTAGCTGTACCCGCAGTTTTACTATCGTGAATTTTTTAGCTTATATGTTATTCAGTAAAAAAGAGGTTGTAACGTGTTGAAAGGTTAAAAGTTGTATTTATTTTATCCTTCCATACAACACAATGCGCGCGCGCGTCAATTCCATACAGTCCGTTTTTTAAAGCTAGAAGCTAGAATAAATATTTTTTTGGCTTTTGATTAAATAATAAATATGACAATTAAAGTTTGTAAAAAATTTACCCTCAAAAAACAAAAGGGGATGAAAGTTTGTATGGGAAATCGTTATTTTTGAAGCTAGAATAACGAATCTGTTTTCGTTACCATTTATTTAATCAAGGTCACTATTCCACGCGGACGAAGTCGCGAGTACAGGTAGTTATATGTACCTAATGTATATCGTAATTTTTAAATTCTATTGGTATGGATTCTAGAGAGTCATTACGTCAATGCTTTAAACAATCAAATATCCTCACAGTTGCCTCACAGTACATTTATGAAAATATTATGTATACAGGGAAAAACTTAGACAGTTTCAAGAAACTTAAAAAGTACATTTATGAAAATATTATGTATACAAGGAAAAACTTAGATCGTTTCAAGAAACTTAAAAAACTGTACAAGTAGAAACTTGTAAAAGTAAAGAAAGTAAAAGTTTATTTGAATAAATGATTTTCTATTCTATTCTATTCTATTCTATTCTATTCTAATAATTTCCAGGCCTAACGTATACGGTCTATACGTCGGTCGGTTTGTTGGCGGCGTGGCTGTGGGCGCTTTCAGTGTGGGCATTCCGCCCTACGTGGAAGACATCGCAGAAAAGCAACTGCTGGCAACACTGGCCAATTTCTACCATGTCCACTTCACTTGTGGGGTCCTTTTTGGATATATTGTTGGTGAGTTACATATATATATTATGACAAACTATAAATAATTAACTACTACCTGTGCAATAAGTAATAATAATAACCCTGGAGAATTCACACAGCGGCGTCTAGTTTGGGACTAACTTGCGACTGCTAAAACTGCTTGGGACTATAGATACTAGACAAGTGATATAAATACTTAAATACATTTTTTATAAAGACATACATAACATACATAGAAAAAACCCCGACAAAATACATTCATACTTATGAATGCAAATGTTTGCACTAAAACCTGCGACCATCGTCATACTCACAATCTCCCTTCTTCGTAACAGTCATACCCACAAACTCCCTTCTTCGTAACAGTCATACCCACAAACTACCTTCTTCGTAAATGTCCTCACAAACACACGATCACTGATCAGTCAGGAGACAAAGAATTCTATGACGATTTAAAAAATATATATTTTACAAAATTGCGCATCAGAACATTATTTATAATAATACTAGCTTTTGTCCGCGGCTTCGCTCGGCGTTAATTTATCCCCTTAGGGGTGGAATTTATCAAAATCCTTTCTTGGGGGATGCCTACGTCATAGTAGCGTGCATGCAAAGTCTCAGCCCGATCGGTTTAAAATTGACGAAATGTCATACTAACTTTCGTCCCCTATTTTATCCCCTTGAGGGTAGAATTAATCAAAATCCTTTCTTAGCGGATGCCTACGTCATAACATCTACCTGCATGCCAAATTTCAGCCCGATCCGTCCAGTGGTTTGGGCTGTGCGTTGATAGATCACTATGTCAGTCACCTTTGAGTTATATATATTTAGACAAAAGCAGACGAAATCGCAGGCGAAGGCTAGTATTAATATATAAGGAGAAGTCCTTAACAGGGGAGTAAAATATACCTTTACTTGCAGTATATAACAAGTTGGCTAGATTTCATAAGCAAAAAGTATAAAAACGGTAATTACTGCGCCAGAACTTAACTGCGGTGGTTTGCATTTTATTAAAAAAATTTCAATGAAGAGAATAAAATTAAATGGAAGACTTTCTGATAATAAAATTTCAATATACTCTGTTGAATACGAAAAACTTTAATAGCAAATATATACGTATATTTTCATGTAGAATAGAATAGAATAGAATAGAATAGAATAGAAAATCATTTATTCAAATAAACTTAATTTAAGCAATTTTGAATAGTCATAACAATTTTTTTTATTAGAAAGCTGTCTCATCGCAAGAAAAACGAGCAAGAAACTTGTGTGTTGCTCTTTTAAATTTTTATTTAGTCTAAGGCCGGTAGGGATTCATATTTTAATGTAAAATTAATATTAATATATGTATTATTTATATAATAAACCGAACCGACTGCTTTTGGCTCAGGTCGTTGTAATTTCGATACCCGTTTGATTTAGACGGGAAATCAATTGGATCTGTATAGATATTCAACGGAAATTTGGATACGGATATTTTAGATTAATATTTAGATTTTTGGGACATGTTTTTATACGGCACTTAATTAATACTAGCCGATTAGATAAAAAATGCTCGTGTATACACATTTGTAAATTTATATCTTTGCTATATCTTGTTTCAGGTATGATACTAAATCCATCATGGCTGTCCTTCCTATGCGCCAGTGTGCCCGTTGGATTTTTCGTCGGCTTCATTTTCCTTCCGGAATCGCCAGTTTATCTAATATCCCAAGGCAAATACAACGAAGCCAAAACAGCTTTAAGATACTACCGAGGCATCGACAACGATATCGAATCAGAATTTAAAGCGCTCAAAGAAAATTTCAGGAACCTTGTAAAAGTTACGTTCAAGGAGTTGTTCAGTACGAAAGCTACCGTTAAAGCTCTGATTGTATCATTCGGTTTGATGTTCTTCCAACAAGTCAGCGGTATATACCCGATCCTCTTCTACGCTAGCAAAATATTCAAGACTTTCTCCATTACAAGTGAGTTACCAAGCGCTGCAATTATTCTTGGCTTCTGCTTGGTATCCTCAACATATTTCTCAACTATGCTGCTAAAACTGATCAGACGACGCATTTTGCTTGTTTTCTCATTTGTCTTTATGTCTATTAGTTTAGGGTTACTAGCAACTTACTATCATTTGAAAGCGTCAAATATTTGTTCTGGCAACACGTTACCGTTATTCTGTCTCTGTCTATTTGTGAGTGTTTACGCTACTGGTGTTGGTCCCATACCCTGGTTAATGCTCAGGGAGATATTCCCCAAGAATGTAACGAGACGAGCTACAGCAATTACGGCAGGCGTACACTGGTTCTTAGCTTTTGGGGCTACAAAACTGTACCAAAATCTAGTAGACCAGGTCAAGCCTGGGTGGACTCTGTGGTACTTTGCAATAATTTGCATTATCGGTGCCATATTTGTGTATGTGTTCGTACCAGAGACAAAGGGTAGGACGGTAGAGGAAATCCATAAAGAGCTCGATGGTCAGAAAACTCATATACATATCATTGAATTAAAAAGTGTTACTGCCACTTGATAAGTATAGTTGCGAGTGAGAGATTCGAGTCAAAATTTTGAGATCAGTATTTTCTTCATTCAGCGACTGTAAATTTTTTCTTCAATTTAGTTTTGGAAACAGATGTATACTTGTGTATTCTAGTGTAGTGTTTACAGTGATAAAATATAACAGATTTATTTGTCTTGTTAATAAAGGTTCTAACATTTAATTTGAGGTATTTACCTCTCTCGACGTTTCGACTAGGTTGCACTAGCCGTGGTCACGAGCTGACTGGAGTAACAGCGATGTCAATGTAGAAAGGTGACAGTTTGCTTTACTACCTTGATAATAATTTTCTATATATTTTATGTTTTACCTATACTCTTTCTATCAATGGTTTTATTTATTACTAGCTACACCCGCGACTTCATCTATAAAATAAAAATTTTTTTCTAAAATAAAAATAGCCTAAGTTATTCCCTATTACATCAGCTACCTGCCAAAAAAGTCCCATCAAAATCGGTCCAGCTATTTCAGAGATTAGCCGGAACAAACAAGATAGGCAGACAGACAAAAATTGTAAAAATGTTATTTTGTTATAGGTACCGTATTTATATTCATATGCATGTAGTAAAAAACTGTTATTTGAATATTACAAACGGACATTCCAATTTTATTTATATGTATAGATTACTATTAATGCCAATGTAATAGGGCTGATTAGATGTGGCGGTCTTGTTACATAACGTCCCCGCGTATGTCTCTGGGCAGTTCCTGAAAATCAGTTTGTTGCTTGATAATCTATGAATCTTTCTTTACTAATCTTTTTTTGGGTTTTGCACCCACTATCCCACTTCTATATAATAATTAACATTATTCTGTCCGTGTGAAAACATAGCAGATATATTAATAACGTATCTCGTTATATTTCATCACTATAAACACGCTTATAGAGTTACAGAAATTTTGATTCTAATCGTTGTCGAATACGGAATAAGTTATTTACATATAATTAAGTTATTAGTTACGTTAATATTATATTTATCTTCATATTAATTGTAAATCATGTTAATTAATACGTAATTATTATACCAAAAAAATATATTTATAAAAATATTCACAATCAAACATTTCATGGATGAGAGAATACGTGTAAAAGTAACTGTACATACTTAGGTTTAACTAGCTTTTGCCCGCGGCTTCGCTCGCGTTAATTTATCCCCTTAGGGGTGGAATTCAAAATCCTTTCTTAGGGGACGCCTACGTCATAGTAGATATATGCATGCAAAGTTTCTGCCCGATCGGTTTAAATTGACAAAGTTTCATACAAAAACTTTCATCCCCTATTTTATCCCTTTGGGGGTAGAATTAATCAAAACCCTTTCTTAGCGGATGCCTACGTTATAACATCTACCTGCATGCCAAATTTCAGCCCGATCCGTCCAGTGGTTTGAGCTGTACGTTGATAGATCACTACGTCAGTCACCTTTGAGTTATATATATTTAGATAAGTGACTTATTCAACACATAGCCTATGTAGAAAGCTTATTTTTTTAATATAGCTTCTTTTAATTAAGTAGTCTTATCCATTAAAACATTAATATCCTGAAAATCCCATGGAAACAGGAAACAAGAAGTAAGCGCGAGCTAAGTCGCGGCTACGCAAAATTTGTGATTAAATTATTCTAAAAAAGCATATATTTTACATTGTACTGTATATTTAAAAGAAAGTGTGATTATGTAGATATTTATTTTTATATTATTAAATTAATAAAATTTACTATTTATGATGAATTTAATAAAAATTACAAAATATTGACGTATTTCTTTCATTACCTTTTTCGTTTGGTCGTTGTCATGATCTTATTGCTTTTTCCTAATGAATATTGTAACAGATGACTAAAGAATTATTGAAGTTTGACAAGTTTGACAAGTTTGAGAAGTGTCACTCGTTGTCGTGTCTGATTGTTTGCAAAACAAACTACGCTAGTAATTGTCCCACTATGCGAGTAAGGTCCAAGTACCCACGTACCCACAGACCTCTTGAATTCTATAATAAATAAAATAAAAATATTGTTGTCGTTATATAGATAGATAGATAAATTCTTTATTATCAATTACAGATACATAACATACATAAAATACAGAAACAACAAAAATTAATAAAAGAAATGTAGGTGACTTTATGTGCCGCAAAAGTGAAAAGGCAGCCAACTCAGCATAATGCTACAGATAACTCTGCAGCGCTGATATTCTATTAGCTCCTTACTTATACTATATTTATTTCTAAATAATACATAAATATTAAGCTTCGAGCTCTTTATCAAAATATATTAAGTATGAATAAACTGTAAATAAAGTGATGAATTAGGTTATAAAACTACTTATACTACATAAATACTGTAACAAGGATTGCACATATATTGATATGGTGAAAGGCTCCGCGAGGCTGATGCTGACGAAGATGATGCAAGACAATGCTTGCGGGCTAAGTTGGGTAAGCAGCTGGTAATAAAGCTCTGTAGAAAAGGGAGCTCCTAAGTAAATATAGTTAAGTAGTGTATAGTTAAGTTTAATAGTTTAAAATATAAACGTGTTGGCAAGCTGTAAGTTTATATTGTGTTTATTGAATAAATAAATAAATACCTCTGATCACCCCATCATACGTACATATACGTAAATCAAATCAAATTAAAAATTATTTCTTCATATAGAACATTTTAGTCTCTTATGAACGTGAAGTATTTTGTATTAATATTTTTCCTACCGTCCAATAATAACTACTAGAAACTCAACTGAATTTCGTTTTTTTTAATATCTGTTCCTTTACATTGTATAATCATATAGGTGTCTATGTCTGACATTAAATGAAACGTGCAGAGACGCTATTCATCATCATCATCATTGTCGCAGCCCGGAAGACGTCCACTGCTGGAAATAGGCCTCCCCCAAAGATCTCCACGACGATCGGTCCTGCGCTGCTCGCATCCATTGCCTTCCAGCGATCTTCACAGATGGTCGTTGGGGCAGTAAAGTCTTCAAGTGTCACGAACCGGAAGACGCAGCGTGGGAAGGCCTCCAGCAAGGTGGACCGACGATCTGATCAAGAACGCTATTAGCTCAGTAAAATTTTATTTAAACCATGATGTGACCAGTTTTGGGGCAACATATAAAAATAAATCCGCAAATACGTGAATAATAATATTCAGAGAGAAATTTTGATTTAAGTTGATGCGAAAGGGATGAAAAAATTAAAAAAAGGGTTGAAAAACGTCTCTTACAAAATAACTCGATAACGGTAAGAAATATGAAAATATATATAATTAGTAAAAATCACAGAATCTTACCACGTTTTATATTTATTTGCTATTTATTCTTATAGAACATTTTAGCCGCTTATGGACGTGAAGTTTTTTGTATTAATATTTTTTCCTGCCGTCCAATAAGAACTACTAGAAACTCAACTAAATTTCGTTTTTTTTAATGGCTGTTCCTTTACATTATATACTCATATAGGTGTCTATGTCTGACATTAAATGAAAAGTGTAAGAACGCTATTAGTTCATGAACATTTTGATTTAAACAATTATGTGACCAGTTTTGGCGCAACATATAAAAATAAGTCCCCAAGTGACTGTAATTTATTGTATATTACGTTTCTATCCGTGAAGCCTGTAAGTGGCCGTTCTGATTTAATTATGTTTTTAACTATACTTGTAAATAGCTGATTTTTCGAAAATAAATAAATAATTAAAAATAATAATATTCAGAAAGAAATATTGATTTAGTTTGACAGGGATGAAAAAATTAAAAAAAGGGTTGAAAAACGCCTACGAAATAACTCGATAACGGTAAAAAATATGAAAATATATGTCCCGGCAAACGTTGTTTTTAAAAAATAGGGGTTGATGATAGAAGGGTGAAAATTTAGGATTGTATGTATTTTTGTATGTTGTATCATAAAAAAATAGAAACTAAAAATTTTGTCTAAATAATAAAAATAAATATTTAGGGGTGGACTACCCCTAACATTTAAGTGGATGAAAAATAGATGTTGGCCGATTCTCAGACCTACTTAATACGCTCACAAAATTTCATGAGAATCGCTCAAGCCGTTTCGGAGGAGTATGGGAACGAAAACTGTGACACGAGAATTTTATATATAAGATATAATTATATTACTATCGTTATAGGATTCATAGAACCGTTTAACTTGTATAAAGTGACAACGAACAATATCCGGAAAAGCATCGTTATTTTTTCGTACACTTGAAGAGAACACTCGGCAATCTGGTTGCGAGCGTATATATATGGAAATTACTAAAAGTAACGGCAGAAACAACCATCACGCCTCCATCTTTTGGGATAAGCAGAGTAATAACAAGGACGAGCCGGTGTAGGATACGTAACGTGACCGTATATTCTTCGACTCAAAACGGGACATCGACTTATTAAGGTCCAATTAACAGATAGTCAATGAAAAAAACTAAAATTATTATATCATATTTAAAATACCATCCTGATCATCTGGATGAATTTTGGTCCTCTACAGTGCGGTTTTCTAGAACATTTTTGCCACGCGCAACCACATTGTGGAATCACCTTCCAGCAATGGTATTTCCGAATCGATACGATATTGAAACCTTCAAGAAAAGAGCTTATTCAAATTCAAATTCAAATTCAAAATATCTTTATTCATGTAGGTATGTTACAGACTCTTATGATATGTCAAATCTACCGTCATTCCTTCTTTACCGTCATTCCGTCAGTCTATTCCTTTTTAAAAGGCCGACAACGTACTTGCAATTCCCTTGGTGTTGCGGGTGCTTATGGGCGGCGGTAATCACTTACCATCAGGTGAGCTGCATGCTCTAGCATAGCATAGCGCAAGACAATACAATATACTTTGTGTTAATTAAGTGAAACCTACAGTAGCTTTAATATTACAACATATATTAATTAAAATTAAATTGTAATACCCTTGGCTTCTAATAAATGAAATAAAATAAAAAAAATTAAAAAAAAATGTTCGTTTGTCCCCTCTGTTATAAAA